GGAGACAGGGACACCAGAGGAAAACAGGGCTTGGAAAAAGACCCCAGCTACCTGGTGGCCCAGGTACTGTGCGCTTGTAGTCTCAGTGCAGGATGCTTGTGTGCCCTCATGGGGGCAGTAGTGAGTTCAATAGATGCGAAAACATGTAGGAGTGATTGAGCTTCCTGGTTCCATTCAACTCTCTGCCCTGCATCCACAGATTGTACAGCATGAGGTCATCAGATGGCACTTGGCCCAGCCCCCATAATGTTTGAACAGTGGCAAGCCTAATGCCCCTAAGCCTGGGTGTGAGGCAGGAAGGCAGGCCTGTGGCCCTGAGTAGGCCACATTTCCAGGCCTCAGCTCTCCCAGCAGTTAAGTGAAGTTTAATTGTCGTCCTTACTACATGAGGATTGGAGAAGACAGAACCTGTGTACCCTGAGGTGTGACCATGCAACTCTGGGTCCATCCCTGGGAGCAATTGCTCCCGGATGAAGCCCTGGGTTAGAAGCAAAGCTGAACAAGAGAGAGACAATGCCTTGTCAGAGCAGGCAGTCAGCAACAGCTGAGTCATCACACATACATGCCAGGCCCCTCTGTCCAAGGGAAGTACAGGTCTCGTGGCTCAGGAGAATGGTCTGTGTGTTTCTTGGCATATTCTAGCTCCCTGCCTGTTACTCATATCAACCTCAGCTCCTGGCAAGGTCAGGAGCACCGGGTACCAGAGGAGGGCCCGGACTGACAGGTGTGCCTCTGATTCTGTCTCATTCAAGTTTTGAACCTTTTCCAACCATCTGTCCACACCTATAAACGAGCATCAGACCTAACCCCCAGTTGTTGTTGCAAAGTCAGGCGAGAGAGCTTGCAAAGTCCCTGGCCTATGCCTGATGCATACCCACATGCAAATCGCTGTGAGTTCTGCCTTCTTTTTCCCTCCTCTCCACCCCCATCTTAGAAAATGGAGTCCAGACAGGGGAAGAGGCTTCTCTGAAGGCATGTGCCCATGATGTCCAAGCCAAGTCTGGAGCCAGGAGTCCTGCTCAGCCTTCCCTACTTTTTCTGCCCAGAGCTACTTGGAGCCTTGTCAGGTCTCACACTTCAGACCCAGAGGCCTAGACCACAAGCCTTAGGCTGGGGCTTCAATAGCTCTCCTAGACCTAAGCCCTCCTGGCCTGAGCTAGACCCTCGCATGTACCTGCAACATTAGTTATTCAGCCTGTCCCTACCAAGGATTTTTGAGGCATGAAGAACTGCCCTCTCAGAGCTGTCTGAGCACCCTCCCTGTAATCCCTGCTGGTGGGATGGACAGGCAGGGGAGAATGCACAGGGGACCACTGTGCTCTAGACTTGACCTGGTTTTTGAAGGTGCCTGCTTATCCAATTCAGTACAGCTCTTCCTGATTACCTCACCTCTTGTTTTGAAATTTGCATAGTAGAACCTCAGGTTGGCCACACAAAGCCTTGTGGTTTTTGTTGTTGTTCTGTGGCTAGGGGTCCTGCAGGTCTCAAGCGCATGTGTAGGTGTTTGTGCACTCATCACTCACTCGCTTGTACACTAACCTGATCACTCATGCTGGCCCTGGCATGGCTGATAGCTTGGATCCTGGGTGAGGCTGTGGGCCTCTGTGTCCATCTCCTCTTGGGCCCTCTCCCTTCCCAGAGAAGAGACCATTACAACTGTGGTGAAGAGCCCCCGTGGCCGACGAAGATCCCCCAGCAAGTCTCCCTCCCGCTCACCTTCCCGTCGCTCTGCCAGCCCACCAAGGCCAGGATTGTTGGTCCCTGAAGTGCTGTACCTGCCAGGGGCCAGCCAGCCCCGCAGGCCTGAGGGGGAGCCAGGCTGGAAGCCCACTGTGCCCACACTGTATGTGACGGAGGCCGAGACCCATTCTCCAGCCCTGTCTGGAGGTGCTGGGCCCCAGCCCAAGTGGGTGGAGGTTGAGGAGACCATTGAAGTCCGAGTGAAGAAGACTGGCTCGAGGAGTGTGTCTCCTTCCAGGGAAGTGCCTGGCAGCTCAGCAGGGTTCCCCAGCAGGACCCCTGGAGGGGATCCCAACACCAACAACTCCAACAACAAGCTGCTGGCCCAGGAGGGCCAGGCTGGAGGAACAGCCAAGGTCTGCATCAGCAAGCCCCTCATCGTCCAGGTGGATGCCAGGGGTGGCATGGACTGGGCCACCTCTGGCACAGGCAGCCTTGAGCCAGAGGAGAGTGGGCTCCCCCTTGAGGAGGAAAGCACCTTGGAGGAGGGAGGAAGGCAAGAGGAGGAGGAAGGAGGCTCCTTTGTGATAGAGGAGCCCCATGACATTGACAGTCTTCAAGGCCGTGACCCCAAGATCCTTACACACAATGGCCGAGTGCTGACCCTGGCTGACCTGGAAGATTATGTGCCTGAGGAAGGGGAGACCTTTGGCTGCAGCGGTCCCATGCTTAGTGCTTCTGATGACCCTCCCTGTGAGGTCTCGGTGCTCCAGAGAGAGATCAGTGAGCCCACTGTGGGGCAGCCTGTCCTGTTCAATGTGGGGCGTCCACCGGGCCCCCGAAGCCAGCTCAGCTTCTTCAGGTCTGGGACCCAGAGGTCATCTCCATCAGGGCCCCAGATCCATGGCTCTGAGGGTGTCTCCTTCCTTGTGCAGGAAGTCCGGGCTGGGCCCATGGGCACCACTCCCTGGACACAGTCTTTCTGTACCCAGGTCCAGCGTTCTGCAGACAGTGGCCACAGCAGCTTCAAAACAGAGGTTTCTACCCAGACGGTCAGCTTTGGGACCGTGGGAGAGACAGTTACTCTGCACATCCGCCCAGATGGGGATGAGGTCCCCAGCCCTTCCCAGGGCTGAGGCCTCACACCTCTGTGAGACTCATAGAACAGGATACTCCTGGTGCCGCTGCCATCGTGGCATGGGGTCAGCAGGGAGAGGGGATTGGCTTTGGAGCCTCAGACTCTGCCTGGCACCAGCAATAGGCCCCAGAAAGGTCCCCAGTCCCCACCAAGTTGCCTTGAACATGTGAGCTCGGACTCTTAACCCTAAGTCTTCTACAACTGGGGACTTGAGGCTGCCCCACCCTCCCACTTTGGGCCCCCTCCTACCTCACTGGACTTGGTCTTCATGCTGAGGACGGTAATGTCTGAATGTGCTGAAGCTGACCTGAGAAAACCCTAGCAAGGAGTGATTTGAAGACCATAGCTCTGGACTGTTCACTTCCGGCCTGGCAAGAACCTTGTCCCAGATGCAAGATAAGGGCCCCCATGTGGGCTCCATCCACCTGTCCAGTTCTGGCCCTAGCCCAGTCCCAGCTGAGGCTCAGCACAGCTTAGACTCTCCTCCAGCCTGGGGGTGCCTGAGGCCCCTTGATGGGGGGCTTCCCTGAACTCTGCAGACCCTCCTGGGCCTTCTCTGTAGGGCGGACACAGGGTCTGCGGGTGGGAAGAAGCCCTGGTCGGTCAAATGCAATAATAAATCATCTCCCTGCACCTCTTTTCTGCTCCTTCTTGTTTCTCTACTCAGCAGCTCTGCTGACTAGGGTAGCCCAGGTTCTCCTCCACTCACAGCCCTGGGCGGTCACTTACCAGCAGCCCACTAACAGGCCTGCCCTTGTCCCTCATCTCTGAGGCAGCACCCTGGTCTACTACCTGCTCGTGTGTTCCACTTGCAGTGTCCCTGGGTGCTGGCACATCCAGTTTGTTCATACACAGCTTGGGATGGCCACGGGGGCACACGATGTGACCAGAGTAGACATTGTGGTCACTCCCTTCCTGCTAGAAGCTGAGCAGGCCTTCCTAAGCCCTAGACAGCCAGGGTTGTTGTCAGGAGACATGGGTTGAGAGTATGATGTGGTGGCTCTTGCAGGACTTGGGTTGTGTCCAGGAACTGACCCTGTTGCTCCTGGCAGGAATGACAGAACAATCCCAGCGCCTGTTAGAGGGATGGCACCAACCTCCTGGGTGACCTCCAGCCCAGAGGCCAGCCCATGGGTCCTGCCAACCTCCTTGGAGTAATAAAGGGGAGGGAGAGGTTTTCTGATCCCATAGAGAGAAGCCCAGAATTGTCTCTCCAGCCTGAGGACCCAGTGGGTACATCAGAGGTTCCTCCTTAGCAGGGGCTTGAAACAATGAAGATGAACAAGAGGGAGAATTGGGACAGGGAGGCAGGGGCATGGGGGGCAGGGACTTACTGGGGATGGGAGTGGTCAGTATTTCTGGGGCGCTCATATGAGGCCACAGAGAGGCTGTACCTGGGGCCGAGGGCAGAGAACCATGACCAGGTGGGGGCTTGAGGAATCCTTCAGGAGCTAGTAGAAAACTAAGGACAGAGCTTGGGGGTGGGGTGTGTATGCTGTGGCTAGGCTGCAGGAGGAGGGGAGAA